TCCGTCTCAAAAAAAAAAAAAAAAAAAGAATATGTATAAATGGCCAATAAGTACATGAAAAGATGCTCAACATCATTAGCTATCACAGAAATGCCAATCAAAGTCACAATGAGGCTGGGTGCAGTGACTCATGCCTGTAATCCCAGCACTTCGGGAGGCTGAGGCAGGTGGATCACCTGAGGTCAGGAGTTTGAGACTAGCCTGGCCAACATGGTGAAACCTCATCTCTACTAAAATACAAAAATTAGCCGGGCGTGGTGGCAGGTGCCTGTAATCCCAGCTACTGAGGAAGCTGAAGCAGGAGAATTGCTTGAACCCAGGAGGCGGAGGTTGCAGTGAGCCGAGATCACACTACTGCACTCCAGCCTGGGCGACAGAGTGAGACTCTCTGTCTCGGAAAAAAAAAAAAAAAGAAATCACAATGTGATACCAATTCACACCCAACAGAATGACTTTAATGTCTTTAAAAAGACAGTAACAAGTGTTGACAAGGATGCAGAGATACCGGAACTCTTATACACTGCTGGTAGACATGTAAAATGGTACAGCCACTTTAGAGAACAGTTTGACAGTTCCTCAAATGGTTAAATACAGAGTTACCATCAACTGCTCCTGCTCCTCTGATCCCCATGGTAAGGTTTCACACATACCTGGTTCTTAAAATGGCCAACAAGTATCAAGCCAGGTCTACCTCCCATAGTCTCCATGCTCCTCTCTGAGGCCATCTCTTCCCTAATTCCAAACCCTTGGAACTGTATTTCATCCACTAAAACACTGGTTTTCGCTCTTCACTAGTTCTTCCCTGACAGGTGCAAAGTCTTCTGACTTTTCTCCTTGTTTCCTACACATTCTTCCTCCACAAAATCCACGGGCTCTCGTCCATGAGAGCAGCTTCTGTGATAACACCAAGTTCAAAGTCCTCTCTTTTTCCACCTAGAAGTAAACCAATCACCTCATGAAAGGGTAACTAACTTTTGCTGTAAAGACATATCCATCGTTCCTATCTGATACACCATTAGCCACAGACTACTAGCATGCCTAAACAGGTGAGAAACTAAAGAAAAGGCAGTATCGCCGGGCGCGGTGACTCAAGCCTGTAATCCCAGCACTTTGGGAGGCCGAGACGGGCGGATCACGAGGTCGGGAGATCGAGACCATCCTGGCTAACACGGTGAAACCCCGTCTCTACTAAAAAAATACAAAAAACTAGCCGGGCGAGGTGGCGGGCGCCTGTAGTCCCAGCTACTCGGGAGGCTGAGGCAGGAGAATGGCGTGAACCCGGGAGGCGGAGCTTGCAGTGAGCTGAGATCCGGCCACTGCACTCCAGCCTGGGCGACAGAGCGAGACTCCGTCTCAAAAAAAAAAAAAAAAAAAAAAGAAAAGGCAGTATCTGAAATCTCAGATGACAAAATGTTACAAAGTAGGCTTTTTTTGAAGGGGGGAAATCTCCAAAAAAGTGCAGCAGTCCACCGACGGCAATGTGGCCCTGATCCCTTAGACAAGCGCAAGATTATACACTCTTCTTCTAGGCAGATGTCTCCAGTTTCCAAATGGGGACACTGAAGTACTAGACCTTACTGCAGACCAGGATGAAGCAGTAAAACTTAGGACTAACTGGCCTCTGAAGCGTAGCCTGTCCAGGGCAGTGGTGGGAAGTTCCCATGAGATGCCTGTTCATTATGTCCAGCTGCACAGATCTTGCTTAAAGTCAATGCCCTTCCAACTAGCCCCTCAAACAAACTTTCAACTTAAAGTTAGCAAAGAAAAAAGATGACCACTTTGTCCAAGAGAGTAGGACTCACAGATACCTAATCATCAGCTATTGAGAAGCTTCATACCCACATTTGGACAGACTCATGCCTGCCTATCGGAACACCATGCATCACACACACTCCCAGGACCTGACATGCATAGGCACATAACCCAGAGCATACACTCACCTTCTCTAACCAGACTATAACTTCCCATCTATCCTGAGACTTGGCTGAGAGAGAGAAAAAGCAACAGGAGGCAAAGAAAACAAGACCAGCCACTCAGGCACCACCCTTGGCTGATACAGTCCCATGGTGCTAGACAATGAGTGGCATCTCTTGCTGTGACCACAGGCAAGCTAATCCTCCACCCGAGGCCTCCTTTTCTTCATGTGTAAAATGAGGGACCCGAAGTTCCTTGTGGCTAGCTGTAATACACCTGACTCTCAGGCCTCTACCAGTTCTCTACAGACGGGTTGCTTTCTGTGAGAAACAGAACTGGCAGAGAGAGGCCTGGTAGAGTGAGAAGCAGGATGCAGAACAAAATCAAGGAGTGACTTCCAGAAAGGGACATGGGGTTCATATTCTGATCACCCAGTTTCCCTAGAAATGCTGTCAGATAACCCCTGGGGCAGCAGGAAGACCGAGTCACAAACTGGGCTGGATTGTTGGCCCGAAGCAGCTCCTAGAGGTCTGGGCATTATACCACTGGTACTCCCTATCCTGGCAGGACCCTCACTAACACCAGTGATGACAGTGAAAACAGTAACCTGCCCAAGACCAAGAAACCACAGAGACCTCAATTTACACGTGCACTTTTCTAAATGACAGGTCAAGATCTAAAACCCTAGCTCAGATTACGGTTCATCCATCTCCACCCAAAGGCACCTTCAGCCCCTCTGCCAAAGCAATGTAAAGTCTTGCTGGCCCTCTTTGTCATCGCTTGGTCTTGTGGGCAATTTCAAGCACTCACAAGTGAACCTAAAGAACTGAAATCCACAGGAAACCCAAGCTTGATCCTCCTTATTCCAAAATTCTAGTTAGTGAAGTTGGTGTTTCGGGTCCTTTGACTTCCTTTGCTCATTCCTAGTGTGGGGATTCATAAAGAAATGGTCAGAAGGCAAAGAGCAAGTGGTTGGAAAAGGGAGAAGAAAGACCCTGAACAAACACCACATAAACAGTCTTCCAGCTCAAACACCGTCAGCATCCAACTTCCTGGCAGGGGCTGTTGAACAATCTCAAAGCACCCTAAGGACCCAGGGGACCGATCTCTCCTATCTAGGGCCATAATCACTATGCATCATCACACCCTTGCATCCACACAACAGATAAGTCAACATCTTTGAAATGATCACCTTCAAAAACTATGGGAAGTCATATTATTTCTACTATGAATAGTCCCTCCTTATAACCAGGCATCCTCTTCTCTCAAATGGTTAATAGCCATTCTCTCTTCTCCCTAACCCGGAGACACCTGGGTAAAGTGTCTGCTTCAAGGAAGCCTAAGCTTCTCCAGTTAATACATCTTGTTCAAGAGGAAAAAAAAAAGGAAACCCAGGGTGGAGTTCTACATTCAAGGGTAAGGAGGCCTGGAGGATAGGAAAATTTGAGCAGCCACAACAAACGATCAGAAAGAGAGGACTATTTGGGCAGACCACTGCTACTTGACAGAGCTGGCAGCCGGCTATAAGGAACAAGAGGAAATATACATGCAACAAATAGGGTGAGGGAGTAAGAGGAGAAGGTGCAGGGATGAAAGCGACTCCACTGCACCCAGGCCTTGCCTTTGCGCTCCAGGGCTGCCCCAAGCGAGCACGCCACACGCAGAAAGCCAGAAGGGCTGGAGGGAAGGGGAGGTGGCGACGGCAGACTACAGAGACACCAGGCCTCGCGTGGAGTGCGGGGAGTGTACACGGGGCCGAACGGCGTGCAAGGGTGGGGTGGGCGTGCAAGTGGCTTGGCGAGGGGTGGCAAGCGTCACCGGCAGGGCCTGCGGGGCAAAGGCCCAGGGCTGCGGGGGGCGTGGGAGCGCGCGGGGCCGCGCTCAGAGGGGCGCGCAGGAGCTGGTTACCGTGTGGTTCACCCCCCACATCAGGACGCTGAGGATCGGCTCGCTGGCCCGGAATAGCTTCACTTTCTGGCACACGAAATGCTTCTTCTTGGTCTTGGTCTTGCTGGCGCTGAGCGGCGCCACCGCCACCGCCGTGGTGCTGGTGCAGTTAGACGACATGCCCGGGGCGGCGGCGGCGGCGGCGGCGGCGAAAGGGGGGCGGTGGAGACAGCGCACAAGCCAGCGGCCTCAGGCCTCCCCCGGACCGATCCCCACCCCCGCTCCCTTACCGCACCATGGTCGCGCCCGTCCCGTTACCTCCCCACCCCGCCCCGGTGGTTCCGTCCGCCCCACGCCCCGCCCTCCCGCCCCGCCCCGGGGAGCCGGCCGGCCCGCTCCGCACCCCGCCCCCAGGCGGTGCAGCAGCCCTGCAGTCCCCTGGCCCCGTCCTCCCCACTCGCGTGGTACGGCCCGTCCCGGGGAGGCAGCGGCCGCCCCGCCCGCCCCTCCTCCCCGGGCCTGACACAAACCCGCCTGGCCTCCGAACGCCTCGGGGCCCCGCACCGGAGCGGGAAGAGGAGGAGGGCTGGGCAGGCGTAGCTGTGGATCGCGGGAGGGGCTCCCCGCCTGGGCCCCCCAACGCCAGGGTTTGGCTCTTTCCCTCAACCCGAATGCCAAGATGGCGGCGACGCCACCGCTCCGGAAGGGAAGGAGGGGCGGGAATGCGAGGAGGGCGGGACGTACCATGCCCACCCCGGGGGAGAGGAGGGACGCAGCCAGGGGAAGAGGAAGTCCAGCCTGGAAAGCCAAGGAACGCCCCCTCGCTCCACCCAAGCGTGGATCTACCCACTCCGCTGGGTCCCGGGCGCGCTCCACCCGCGGGGCACGCCCCTTTCCCCCAGGGCCAATGAGAAGCAGGCCGGGAACATTGGTTTTTATGAATGGGCCCCGCGCCCACCCACCTGCTGCCTGGTCTCCCCGCAAAGGGTCAGAGCTCAGAGGCCGCCAGCACCTTCGGACACCTATCCCACTAATCGTCTTACTCTGGCTCATTTCGTAAAATCTTTGACTAAACTGCCCCACGCTTTGTTACATAATTCTCAGATGAGGGATCTCCATATATTCGACACAAATCACAGGTCAACGTTGTTCTTTCTGTATGGAAATTCGTAAATATGGTACTCCACAGGTGGTCGCTCTTTAAACAGTTACAAAAATAAATGTGGCCTTTATTACCAATTAATAAAATAAACATAATTAACCCCGGCATAAGGAAGCATGATGAAGTGATTAAATGAAAAAACTTACGTTACATTCTCTAGGGAAAGATCGGGTTTCAAGCATTACAGTGCCTGGCAGCGTAAGTGTTGAAAAACAGAAATCCAAATACATTTTAAGCAGAATTAGGAATTAGCAGAACAAGGAAATCGCCCTGCTAATGTGCGGGTCAAGAGGGCCTAGGAGTTCATTGGTCAAATGAGGGCTTCTGGTGAAAGAATAGAGAAGGGAAAAGGAGTAAAGATAGAAGAGGGCCCCTTGAGGGTTTTTTTTGTTTTTTTAGTACCTGACTGAAAGAGACTAGCAAACAACTCCTGAAAATCTGTAATTGTAATCTTCATTTCTTACACAGTAAGAAATGAAGCCGTGAAATTAAAAGCTTCCATTTTATTTTCCTTTAGGAGCCATGGAGCATATTGGCAATTTGGTTCTGACTCCTAAAATCATTTTACTATACCTTTACACTGCCTACATTGGAGACTGCAAGCAGTGGAAAAGAAGATACTCCAGATCCTGTCGATAAACCCAGGCTCCTCCTAAATCAGCCAGATTCAGAGAAAAACGAGCTGGCCTGCCTTATTTTATTCCTTGCCATCAAGGTTCAATGCGGTTCTATTACCTAGTAAAGTCACTGACCAAACAAGGTATTTTCACAAAGCCAACCTTTTTTAAAAGCATGTAAGAATTATACATTTGTACATATACACATTACACTTTTACATCCAAAGATCAAATAGTTAACAGTTCATTTAGGGCTGTTTGTATTGTTTGATTTTCCAGATTCTGTCACTCCCTTGGCTTTGACCTAACCTGACATCATTCTGTCACATTATCTTTTTTTTTTTAATTTTTTATTTTTTTTGAGATGAAGTCTCGCTCTGTTGCCCAGGCTGGAGTGCAGTGGTGCGATCTCGGCTCACTGCAAGCTCCGCCTCCCGGGTTCACGCCATTCTCCTGCCTCAGCCTCCCGAGTAGCTGGTACTACAGGCGTCCACCACCATGTCTGGCTAGTTTTTTGTATTTTTAGTAGAGATGGGTTTTCACCATGTTAGCCAGGATGGTCTCGATCTCCTGACCTCGTGATCCACCTGCCTTGGCCTCCCAAAGTGCTGGGATTACAGGCGTGAGCCACCGCGCCCGGCAACATTATCTTCTGAATCAAGTAAACATGAATTTGTCTCGTAAGCATAATCTATCTGGGTGACACCAGAGAGGTTTCTGAAGGGTCTGGTGTACACTGAGGCAGTGAAATAGGTCTGTTGGCACAGGTAAGAAGGAAGTGGCATGATAAACATCACAACCCCAGGGAACGGCCTTCCAGAGCGGCACAAGCACTCCCACCAAGATGGTCCCGTGCCCACCCATTCAAGAGTCAAAACCCAAAGTTACTGAGTGTCCCACAAAGCAAGTTACACTAGCTCACAAAGGAAGTGAGCTGTTCCAGGACTCGATGGAGCAGGGTCACTTTGAACAGTGGTGGTTTGATATCTGTGAAAGAAGTCATTCGAACTCTTATAAAGAGAATTAAGGGGTCAGCAGCTTCCCTGGAAAATGCAGGAAAACCAGTAAGAGAGGGGACAGTTTTCATCTTTTCATAAAGTTCTTCTCCAGAGCTAGCGAAGTTCTCTGTAGAGAGTAGATATTCCGCTTCACCCGATCCTCCAGGGAGGAAGTAGATGCACTCTCCAGCTTCATGCGGCTAGGAAGAGAAGACAGGCAAATGGAAGTCAAAAACATTTTCAATCGGTCAACTATTCTGGCAGTTTCAGAGGAAATGGGTTGCTAGCCATAGAGCAGCTGTAAAACCACAACCTCTTTTAAGCCCCCATAGATAACTTGAGTGACTCCACCTGGAACCAAATGTTTTTAAACCAGTGTCCATGAGGGAAAATGTATCTGTTTTGCAAAATAAGTCAAAGCCTCATTGGAAAAAGGCTTCCTGGGCCATGAATTCTTATTTAAAAGGAAGGTCAAGGAATTTCAATGATTTAGAAAATACCAAATTCACTTTTCCTCCCCTCAAATGAAAAACATCCCACTGTGTGGTCAGAAACGAGGAGTAGCAGCCAAGGTTACAATGCCTGTAACTAGCAGCCTCGTTGCACAAGGCTGGGCTCCATGTGCAAACACAGAAACACTGGAACGTGAACCACCTGCCAGCCTGCCATCTTAAGACCTTCCCCATGAAAGCCCCCGGCAGGAAGAAGATGCACTCACTGGATGAACTTCCCATCCCGGGAGTCCAGCTTCTCTAGCCTCTGCTCCCGTTCCTCATCTTTAGCGTGCCTCTTGAGGATGTTCAGTCTCTCCTCCTCCCGCCATTTGGCGTTTTCCATCATCTCTTGCCGTTTTCGCTCTAATTCCTCTGCGGAGAGTTTTCTGTTGAGCACAGAAACCATCCGATCAGGTCTCTCCCAGCAAAAAACACAGAAGTAGCACAAGAAGCACAGAAGCCAGGTAGCACCCCAAGCTCTCCAGTTCACTGCTCTCTCCAAGTGCAAGGCCAGCCTGAGTTTCCTTCTAACATCCTGGTCAGGAGGTTTCATCCAAATTTCAAAGGCTTTTAGTAAAGTATTCCATAATCTCACTCAGTAATCTCTAGAGTGATTATTATGAAATATGAAATATGAAATAAATTGGGAACTCATCAGGAACCTAAACCTGTAGTAATTATATCCCAATGGTTTGCTCAACAATTTACCAAAGAACAGAAGTCTAGGTTATCCATGTAAATGTTAACATCTACCATCTAACTACCCATTGGAGACTAGAAATTCATGACACAGCCTGTGAGTACATTACTTTAGGACTAAGCTAGAAGCCAGAAGTTGAAGAATAACTTAGCCTCAGAAAATAATAAATAGGGCCAGGCCTAGAGGCTCACACCTGTAATCCCAGCACTTTGGGAGGCCGAGGCAGGCAGATCACCTGATGTCAGGAGTTCGAGACCAGCCTGGCCAATGTGGGGAAACCCTGTTTCTACTAAAATTACAAAAATAAGCCAGGTGTGGTGGTGTGTACCTGTAATCCCAGCTACTTGGGAGGCTGAGGCAGGAGAATCACTCGAACCTTGGAGGCAGAGGTTGCAGTGAGCCAAGATCGCACCACTGCACTCCAGCCTGGGCAACAGAGCGAGACTCTGTCTCAAAAAAAAAAAAAAAAAAAAACCCTCCAAACAAAAAACAATTTACTATTAAAAATCTGCTTCAGAGGCCGGGCGCGGTGGCTCACGCCTGTAATCCCAGCACTTTGGGAGGCTGAGGCGGATGGATTACGAGGTCAGGAGATCGAGACCATCCTGGCTAACACAGTGACACCCTGTCTCTACTAAAGAATACAAAAAATTACAAAAACTGGGCATAGTGGCGAGCGCCTATAGTCCCAGCTACTGGGGAGGCTGAGGCAGAATGGCGTGAACCCAGGAGGCGGAGGTTGCAGTGAGCCGAGATTGCACCACTGCACTCCAGCCTGGGCGACAGAGCGAGACTCCATCTCAAAAAAAAATAAATAATAATAAATAAATAAATAAATCTGCTTCAGAGATAATAAATGAAAGATATTAGAGCATTCAAATGAGAGTAGGAGACTTTAAAAAAAAAACGAAAACGACTGCCAGGCATAGTGGCTCTAGCCCGTAATCCCACCACTTTGGGAGGCTTAGGCAGGAGGATTGCTTGAGTCCAAGAGTTTGAGACCAGCCTAGGTAACAAAGTGAGACCTCCCATCTCTGCTAAAAAAAAAAAAAAAATTTATTTTTAATTAGCTGGGCGTGGTGGCATACCCTTGTACCCCCAACTAATTGGAAGGCTGAGGTAGGGGGATCAGTTGAACCCAGGAGTTTGAGGCTGCAGTGAGCCATGATCGCCCCAATGCACTCCAACCTAGGCAACACAGTGAGACTTTGTAGGGAGAATAAAGAAGTTATCAAAGAAATAATACAAGAAAATTTCCTAGAACTCAAAGACATGGTTTAGATTGTAGGAAGCAAATACTGACACTAGGAAAAAATACACACATCATACAAGAAAGGAAATGTAACCTCTATATTCTGCTTGGCTTAGGAATGAAAAGTATCAGTAAACAATATTTATATATCATACAAGTATGAATCCACATACTAATTGAACCAAAAATTCTGATATAACCATACTGAAAAGATAGGGATAGAAGAAACATGGGACAAGGAGTGTATGAAAGCTCATTTACACTAAGAGATTATTTACTATACCAGTAAGAAAATATCTGGGCTGGGCACATTGGCTCACGCCTGTAATCCTAGCACTTTGGGAGGCCAAGGCAGGTAGATCATGAGGTCAGGAGATCAAGACCATCCTGGCTAACACAGTGAAACCCCTGTCTCTACTAAAAATACAAAAAATTAGCTGGGCGTGGTGGCGGGCACCTGTAGTCCCAGCTACTCGGGAGGCTGGGGCAGGAGAATGGCGTGAACCTGGGAGGTGGAGCTTGCAGTGAGCCAAGATCGCACCACTGCACTCCAGCCTGGGCAACAGAGTGACACTCCGTCTCAAAAAAATAAAAGAAAAGAATAAAACAGTAAGAATATATCTAAGATCTGGCCAGGTGCGGTGGCTCACACCTGTAATCCTAACACTTTGGGAGGCCAAGGCAGGTGGATTGCCTGAGCTCAGGAGTTCGAGACCAGCCTGAGCAACACATTGAAACCCCATATAAACTAAAAATACAAAAATTAGGGTCAGGTGCTGTGGCTCATGCCTGTAATCCCAACACTTCGGGAGGCCGCAGCGGGCAGATCACCTGATGTCAAGAGTTCAAGACCAGCCTGACCAATATGGTGAAACCTCATCTCTACTAAAAAATACAAAAATTAGCTGGGCATGGTGGCATGTGCCTGTAGTCCCAGCTACTCAAGAAGCTGAGGCAGGAGAATTGCTGGAACCCAGGAGGCAGATGTTGCAGTGAGCCAAGATCATGCCACTGCACAGCAGCCTGGGCAATAGAGCGAGACTCGATCTCAAAAAAAAAGGCTGGGCACGGTGGCACTCTGGGAGGCCAAGGCAGGCAGATCACCTGAGGTTGGGAGTTCGAGATCAGCCTGACCAACATAGAGAAAGCCCGTCTCTACTAAAAATACAAAACTTAGCTGGGCGTGGTGGCGCATGCTGTAATCCCAGCTACTTGGGAGGCTGAGGCGAGAGAATCACTTGGGCCCAGGAGGCAGAGGATGTGGTAAGCCGAGATTCGGTCATTGCAGTCCAGCCTCAGCAACAAGAGTGAAACTCCATCTCAAAAAAAAAAAACAAAAAAATAGCTGGGCATGGCATCGTGTGCCTGTAGTCCCAGCTACTAGGGAGGCTGGGACAGAAGAATCACTTGAACCCAGGAGGCAGAAGTTGTAGTGAGCCAAGATTGTGGCACTGCGCTCCAGCCTGAGAGACAGAGCGAGATGCTGTCTCAAAAAAAAAAAAAAGAAAGAAAAAAGAAAATATCTAGTATCTAAAATTGATGGATGAAGAGGCAGCAACATATTTGTATTTTTAGGAATACATAGTATGAAAAGAAACTACTGAAAAAGCTGAAAGTAGTTGCCTTTGGGTAGCATGACTGAAAGTGGGGTCAGGCAGAGCAAAGAACTACTAGCTTTTGTTTTTTTTTAATGTTTTTAAAATAATTTTTTTAGAGATAGTGTCTTATTATGTGCTCAGACTGGTCTGGAACTCCTGGCCTCAAGTGATCCTCCTGCCTTGGCCTCTCAAACTGCTGGGATTACAGGTATGAGCCACCACACCCAGCAAGAATAATTGAGGGGTTTTTTTTTTGTAATTTAAGAGACAGGGTCTTGCTCTGTCACCCAAGCAAAACTGCAGTGGCTTGATCATAGCTCACTGCAACCTTAATCCCTTGACCTTAAATGATCCTCCTTGCCTTAGCCTCCCAAAGCGCTGGGATTACAAGCATGGACCACTGTGTCTGGCTTGGTTTTTGTAAAGAGATTTTTTTTTTTTTTTTTTGAGACGGAGTCTTGCTCTGTCACCCAGGCTGGAGTGCGGTGGCCGGATCTCTGCTCACTGCAAGCTCCGCCTCCCGGGTTTATGCCATTCTCCTGGCTCAGCCTCCCGAGTAGCTGGGACTACAGGCGCTCGCCACCTCGCCCGGCTAGTTTTTTGTACTTTTTAGTAGAGACGGGGTTTCACCGTGTTAGCCAGGATGGTCTCGATCTCCTGACCTCGTGATCCGCCCGTCTCGGCCTCCCAAAGTGCTGGGATTACAGGCTTGGGCCACCGCGCCCGGCCGAGATTTTTTTTTTTTCTTTTTTTTGGAGATGAAGTCTCGCACTGTCGCCTGGGCTGGTGTGCAGTGGTGCGATCTCGACTCACTGTAACCTCCGATACCTGGGTTCAAGCAATTCTCCTGTCTCAGCCTCCCAAATAGCTGGGATTACAGGCATGCGCCACCATGACCAACTAATTTTATATTTTTAGTAGAGACGGGGTTTCACCATGTTGGTCAGGATGATCTCTAACTCCTGACCTCAGGTGATCCACCCACCTCAGCCTCCCAAACTGCTGGGATTACAAGCATGAGCCACCATGCCCAGCCTTACCTTGCCCTTTCAATGTGCCTCACATGGCTAGAGGTAGGGGACGCAGACCCTTACAGGCTGACAAGATAAATAAAAGTTGGTTTGTCGAAAAGGTAATGATGGATTATCCATTTGCCCTGGTTTGGGCCCCTTCTAGATTCAGGCCTGCAGAATGTGAAGTTAATCAACTAGGCTCCTGACTCACCTGGTATATCCGGGAGCATGTCGCCTTTGGTAGACCTCTTTTTTAGGTGATGGGCTCCTAGTTTGGCCTGTCTCTCTCCTGTTCACCTTAGAGTTGTGCCTGTAACAGACACAGAGAGGAAAAAGCCTTTTTAATCCAGGGGCTTACATTGAATCTCTCAAACAATGCAAGATGAGCTAATGGTCTTAGAGGTATAATCTAAGCAGAGGGCACAAGTATGAGAAAAATAAAGGTATAGGGTTTGATGTCAGACTCACCCAGAGCTCCCAAAGCACAGTATACACCTACAGATACGTAGCTTTGGATGCCTGAGCTTTACATAGAGGTGGAAAAAAAATGATGTAAAGGAAATACCAAAGCAAAGACATTTGGGAAAGTCGATGGATGGACATCTCCAAAAGCAAAAGCAAATGCCTGCAGGGACCATGCCCCCACAGTCACAGGTTATTTCCCAGTGAATCCCACACTCACGGTTTGCTGGGCCTTGGGGACCATGACCTTCTGCCCGGGGATCGAGACCTCCTGTCCCGGGACCCTGCTTCCCTGGTACTCTTCTTGCTTGCATGTCTGGGGGGTGAGTAGGAGGAGCTTCTGGATCTGGAATGGTTCTTCATCCCATGCCCTCTCTTTTGCTCGGCTGTCAGAGGACCCTGAAGACCCTGGTTACGGTCAGAGTTCCTGACCTACGTCATTAAGGAAAAGAGAAATTATTCACCTGGAAAATCCAGCGATTCAGGAGAAAATGCAGCCGGGCACGGTGGCTCACGTCTGTAATCCCAGCACTTTGGGAGGCCTAGGCGGGTGGATCACCTGAGGTCAGGAGTTTGAGACCAGCCTGGCCAACATGATGAAACCCCATCTCTACTAAAAATACAAAAATTAGCCGGGCCTGGTTGTAGGCACTTGTAATCCCAGCTACTCGGGAGGCTGAGGCAAGAGAATTGCTTAAACCCGGGAGGCATAGGTTGCAGTGAGTCAAGATCGCGCCACTGCACTCCAGCCTGGGCGACAGAGCAAGACTCCGTCTCAAAAGAAAAAAAGAAAAGGCAGTGAAACAGGAGATGTTACATAAGGAGCTCATTGGGCACACCAATATCATCACATAGAATTATCACAGAGAACTGTATAAACTTAGTTATCTGCAGAATCCCCTAAAAGAATCTCCTTCACTCAGCCAGGTGCAGTCGTTCACACCTTTAATCCCAACACTTTGGGAGATGGAGGCAGGAGGACTGCCTGAGATCAAGAGTTTGACACCACTCAGAGCAACTAGTGAGACCCTGTCTCTACAAAATATTTAAAAATTAGTTGGGTATGGTAGGTCCAGCCTGGGCGACAGAGCGAGACTCCCTCTCAAAAAAAAAAAGAAAAGAATATACCTGGCTTGGGTCTTCACTATAGGTTAAGGAAGAGCAAGACGCAGAAGCATGGAGGACAGGACCTAAGGTTAAAAATACAGAAATACGAGGCCGGGCACAGTGGCTCACGCCTGTGATCCCAGAACTTTGGGAGGCTGACGCGGGCAGATAGCTTGAAGCCAGGAGTTCGAGACCAGCCTGACCAACATGGAGAAACCCCATCTCTACTAAAAATACAAAAATTAGCCAGGCATCGTGGCGGGCACCTGTAATCCCAGCTACTCAGGACAATCGCTTGAACCCAGGAGGCAGATGTTGCAATGAGCTGAGATTGCGCCACTGCACTCCAGCCTGGGCGACATGGAGAAACCCCGTCTCTACTAAAAATACAAAATCAGCTGGGTGTGGTGGCACATGCCTGTAATCCCAGCGACTCGGGAGGCTGAGGCAGGAAAATCGCTTGAACCCAGGAGGTCGAGGTTGCAGTGAGCTGAGATCGTGCCATCACACTCTAGCCTGGGCAAGAAGAGTGAAACTCCATCTCAAAAAAAACACAAAAATACAGAAATACAGAAGGCAAGCCAGGTGCCTTGAGCTTGCCCTTCCAGCTACTCAGAAGATTGCTTAAGCTCAGGAGTTTGAGACCAGCCTGGGCAAAATAATGATGCGCTGCTACTCAAAAAAAAAAAAAAAAACCGATTTATGTTTGTCAAAAATCATCAACCTATACACTTAGGCGAGGCACACTGGCTCACGCCTGTAATCCCAGCACTTTGGGAGACCAAGGCGGGAGGATCACCTGAGGTCAGGAGTTCAAGACCATCCTGGCCAACAGGCAAAACCCTGACTCTACTAAAAATACAAAAATTAGCTGGGCATGGTGGTGGGCGTCTGTAATCCCAGCTACTTGGGAGGCTAAGGCAGGAGAATAGCTTGAACCCAGGAGGCAGAGGTTGCAGTGAGCCAAGATCACGCCACTGTACTCCAGCCTGAGTGACAAGCGAGATTCTGTCTAAAAAAAAAAAAAAAAAAACCACCTATACACTTAAAATATGTGCATTTCATGTAAATTATTTGTAGAGGGATGGGTAGAATGCCTCAATGCCCCATTGGTGGTTTAGTCTCTCTGCTCAGAGGGTCGTCAGCCACAAGAAGATGCTCAGGGATAAGAAGGGACCTGTTTCCCAGCAGCCCAGGCTTCACTGCCTACCTCCCTGCTATCCACATTGTCCAAGTGGCATATCCCACAGTCCTATAGTCACTCCTTTCAAGGAGCCCACATCCCTACCTGTAAGCCATATCCAGGGACTTTGGACAAAACAGGGGAGGAATTTGCCATCCTCTTCTGAGATCTAAGAGATTAAAATACACAGTCATTGAAAAAGAAAATACATATAGGTCCAATTTAAGTATCTTATGCTGAACCATGCTTCTTGCTTCCAATGTGACCTTTCCGCCTCCCAGCTGTTACCTGGCAGTACGTTTCTCTATTTGAACTGTTTATGCCGAAAGATGCATCAGCACAGTCAAATTTTCCTGTGAAAAAGTGTGGGCCTCGCTTCTAAGCCCCAACGCCTGAAGACATTCTCCTCTCACTTCATGCTGCTATTCCGGGGATGAATAGTGACTCAGCAGCGGCGGAGCTGACTGCTCCCACGGGAAGACACGCAGAATGGGACCACATGGGCCACCGTCCATTAAAAATAACATATATAAAGCCCACTTCAGTCTTGAAGGAATCCTAAGCTGAGATGAAACAGTCACCCCCAGGATGTCTGACCTACCTAAGACCTACTAGGCTAAAGTCAGCTCCATTAAGGGTCTCTCTCCAGCAGCATGGCCGAGATACCCACTCACATTTAGCATCTCCAAGGAACTCTAGCATTAGATGGCAAGCTCTGTGGGCACAGGGCCCATGTTCAAGTATTCATTACTGAATGCCCAGTACCTGGCAGCTCCCAGCACAGGGCAGGTGTTCATGTCTGTGGAATGAATGAGTGAATGAGCAAGTGAATCAACGAGAAGGGAGGCCAGTCGCCACATGCTCACCTCCCTGCACTGTGCTCATCCTCACTGCTGGAACGATCACTACTCGAGCTTCTGTGCTTATGTTTCTTGTGCTTCTTTTTCTTCTCCTTCTTTTTCTTCTTCTCCTTTTTTTCCAGACTCATTTGCAACTGGAAAATGCCGAGAACACAAACACACAAGATTACTGAGACCAGCCAGTGCCTGTAATTCCAGCACTTTGGGAGGCCAAGTCGAGCAGATCATCACTTGAGATCCGGAGTTGGAGACCAGCCTTGCCAACATGGCAAAACCCCATCTCTACTAAAAATACAAAAATTAGCTGGGCACCTGTAATGGCAGCTACTTGGGAGGCTGAGGTACAAGAAACACCTGAACCGGGAGGCAGAGGTTGTAGTGGGCCGAGATTGTGCCACTGCACTCCAGCCTGGGCGACAGAGTGAAACTGTGTCTCAAAAAAAAAAAAAAAAGATTACTGGCTGGGCATGGTGGCTCACTCCTGTAATCCCAGTACTTTGGGAGGCTGAGGCGGGAGGATCACAAGGTCAGAAGTTCAAGATCAGCCTGGCCAATATGGTGAAACCCCATCTCTACTAAAAATACAAAAATTAGCAGGGTGTGGTGATGTGTGCTTGTAGTCCCAGTTACTCAGGAAGCTGAGGCAGAAGAATCACTTGAACCCAGGAGGCAGAGGTTGCAGTGAGCCGAGATCGCACTGCTGCACTCTAGCAGCCTGGGTGACAGAGTGAGACTCCATCTCATTAAAAGAAGAAAAAAAAAAAAAAGCCCAGGCACGGTGGCTCACACCCGTAATCCCAGCACTTTGGGAGGCCGAGGTGGGCAGATCACGAGGTCAGGAGATCGAGACCATCCTGGCTAACACAGTAAAACACCGTCACTACTAAAAACACAAAAAATTAGCTGGGCGTGGTGGCAGGCACCTGTAGTCCCAGCTACTCGGGGGGCTGAGGCAGGAGAATGGTGTGAACCCAGGAGGCGGAGCTTGCAGTCAGCTGAGATCACGCCACTGCACTCCAGCCTGGGCAACAGAGTGAGACTCCACCTCCAAAAAAAAAAAAAAAGATTACTGAGACCCCAGTCAGTCTCTTTTGAGGGGTGTGGCTCATGCACAAACTGCCTGACTCCATGCCTCTGGGTCTACAGAAGTCCAGGACATTATGGGGGTTCCCTGTCAACACACCAGGGGAAGGGTCTTAACCCAGGCTGTGCACTAACAACCCCAACTACTGAACTGGTATCTGGTAGGTGAGACTAAGAATTTGTGTTTTTAAACAGTCACCAAAACCACTGCCTAGGAGTTTCCATTCTGTGTCAAAGGAATTCCCATTCCATTGAAAGCAGTCAGGAACTGCAAGGTCAAGCTTTAATTTTCCTTACCAACTGATCCAAGACACAATTACATAATATGTCATGTGAATAAGTGGGCCCTAGAAGCCTTTTTTTTTTTTTTTTTTTTTGAGACGGAGTCTCACTCTGCCGCCCAGGCTGGAGTGCAGTGGCCGGATCTCAGCTCACTGCAAGCTCCGCCTCCCGGGTTCACGCCATTCTCCTGCCTCAGCCTCACGAGTAGTTGGGACTACAGGCGCCCGCCACCGCGCCCGGCTAGTTTTTTGTATTTTTTAGTAGAGACGGGGTTTCACCGTGTTAGCCAGGATGGTCTCGATCTCCTGACCTCGTGATCCGCCCGTCTCGGCCTCCCAAAGTGCTGGGATTACAGGCTTGAGCCACCGCGCCCGGCCAGCCTTTTTTTTTTTTTTTTTGAGACAGAGTTTCGCTCTTGTTGCCCAGGCTGGAGTGCAATGACACGATCTTAGCTCACTGCAACCTCCATCTCCTAGGTTCAAGCGATTCTCCTGCCTTAGCCTCCCCTTAGCTGGGATTACAGGCATGCACCACCACCCCGGCTAATTTTGTATTTTTAGTAGAGACTGGGTTTCTCCATGTTGGTCAGGCTGGTCTTGAACTCCCGACCTCGGGTGATCCACCCACGCCCAGCCCCTGGAAGCTTTATACCATGACCAAGGGCATCCTCGGACCTCCTGAACACACCAAATGGTAATGCTTTCCACACGCTTAGCCCACACTCTTTTTCTGGAAAAATGACATCACATGGTGCATTCTCCCACCCAAAAGACTTTCAACCAAAATCAAGTTTAATTAAGCTTAACAAATTAAGATTACATAAAATAACCAGCCTCACCAATATGAAGAAACCCCATCTCTACTAAAAATACAAAATATTGGCCGGGCGTGGTGGCTCACGCCTGTAATCCCAGCACTTTGGGAGGCCGAGGTGGGCGGATCACAAGGTCAGGAGATCGAGACCATGGTGAAACCCCGTCTCTACTAAAAATAGAAAAAATTAGCCGGGCGCAGGGGCGGGCGCCTGTAGTCCCAGCTACTCGGGATCCTGAGGCAGGAGAATGGCGTGAACCCGGGAGGCGGAGCTTGCAGTGAGCCGAGATTGCGCCACTGCACTCCAGCCTGGGCAACAGAGCGAGACTCCGTCTCAAAAAAAAAAAAAAAAAAAAAATACAAAATAAGCCGGGCGTGGTGGCACATGCCTGTAACCCCAGCTACTAGGGAGGCTGAGGCAGGAAAATCACTTGAACCCAGGAGATGGAGGTTGCGGTGAGCCGAGATCGCACCATTGCACTCCAGCTTGGGCAACAAGATTGAAACTCCGTCTCAAAAAAAGAAAAAGATTACATAAAATAGCCACGAGATGGTCTCTAAAAGACAAAAGTTTTAGAGGCCATTCTGTTTTCCCCCGGTAAGTTGAGAGTAAATGGAGAGAGGTTCTCACGTTATATGGCTAAAAGATGCTCTTGGTGCTTATCTGATACACTACTTACCAATTCTTTGATTTTCTTCATTTTCACTGGATTATTTAATACCTCTCGTTTTTTCTCCTCCTCCTTCTTCCTAAATAGAGATAATTATAAAATTCATGACTATTTCTTTTCTCCAAATTTTATGGAGTATGACCTGGGTGTGGTGGTGTGCACACCTGTAATCCCAGCTACTTGGGAGACTGTGGGAGGAGAATCGCTTGAACCTGGGAGGCGGAGATTGCAGTGAGCCAAGATCGTGCCACTGCACTCCAGCCTGGGCGATAGAGCAAGACTCTTGTCTCTAAAAAAAAAAAAAAAAAATCTACATGATGATGGGGCTGGGTGCAGTGGCTCATCTCACACCTGTAATCCCAACACTCTGGGAGGCTGAGGCAGGCAGATCACTTGAGGTCAGAAGTTCAAGATCAGCCTCGCCAACATGGTGAAACCTCGTCTCTAACAAAAAAAACCCCACAAAAATTAGCCAGGTGTGGTAGCACACACCTACAGTCCTGGCTACTCGGGAGGCTGAGGTGGGAGAATAACTTAAACCCAGGAGGCAGAGGTTGCAGTGAGCTGAGATTGTGCCATTGCACTCCAGTCTGGGTGACAGAGTGAGACCCTGTCTCAAAAAAAATAAATAAATAAAAAACTACATGATGGTGTCAAAGCCAAAAATCTCCCCCAAATATAAGAGATTGTCTCAAAAAAAAAAAAAAAAAAAAAGAGTCATGCTCAGTCGTCCAGGCTGCAGTACACTGGCATGATCACGGCTCACTGCAGCCTTGATCGCCTGGGCTCAAGTGATACTGCCACATCAGCTTCCCAAGTAGCTGGGACTATAGGCACCCACCACCATGCCCAGCTAATTTTTGTATTTCTTATAGAGATGGGGTTTCACCATGTTGCTCAGGCTGATCTCAATTTCTTGGGCTCAAGCAATCCATCCATCTCAGCCTCGCTAAGTGCTGGGATTACAGGTGTGATCCACTGTACCCAGCTGTGAGTTGTTTTTGATAGGTATAGAATTTCAATTCAGAATGGCGAAAGAGTTCTGGAGACGGGCTGTGGTGATGGTTGCCCAACACTGTGAATGTATTTATTTATTTATTTTGAGACAGAGTCTTGCTCTGTTGCCCAGGCTGGAGTGCAGTGGTGCAATCTCAGCTCACTGCAAGCTCCGCCTCCCGGGTTCACACCATTCTCCTGCCTCAGCCTCTCGAGTAGCTGGGACTACAGGCGCCCGCCACCACGCCCGGCTAATTTTTTGTATTTTTAGTAGAGACGGGGTTTCACCATGTTAGCCAGGATGGTCTCAATCTCCTGACCTTGTGATCCACCGCCTCGGCCTCCCAAAGTGCTGGGATTACAGGCACAAGCCACCGCGCCCAGCAACACTGTGAATGTATTTAATACACTGAACTGTACATATGAAAATGGTTAAAATGGGACATTCTATGTTACGTATATTTTACCACGATAAACTAAGACACTAAAAAAATGGGACAAAATATTTGCAACCTATACAATATCTTTGATAAATAACTATTTTTTCTTTTGTTTTATTCCAGGATATGGTTAAGATAAATAACTTTAAAGATAATTTGCAAAAGAAAAACTGTAACTAGGCCAGACATGGTGGCTCATGCCTGTAATCCCAGCACTTAGGGAGGCCGAGGTGGGCGGATGACCTGAAGTCAGGAGTTGGAGACCAGCCTGGCCAACATGGCAAAACCCCATTTCTAATAAAAATACAAAAATTAGCCGGACGTGGTGGTGGGCACCTGTAATCCCAACTATTTGGGAGGCTGAGGCAGGTAGAATTGCTTGAACCCAGGAGGTGGAGGCTGCAGTGAGCTGAGGTCGCGCCACTATACTCCAGGCTGGGCAACAGAGCGAGACTCTGTCTCAAAAAAAAAAAAAAAAAGAAAAGAAAAGAAAAAAACTGTAAATAAAAAATAAACATATTTAAACGTTGAATCTTATATACTGGAATTAAAATGCAAACTAAAATAAAATAAATAATAATATGCACAGTCTATCTTCATTTAGCACCCAAACTGCAACTCTAATATTACATACTAGGGTTTCAAGTAAGATTTGCAAGTTTCTTTTTGAAGGGTTCTTCTTCCCTTCCCCTCACCACCTGAAAAAAGAAATGTGGGTAAGAAGGCCTGTTCACCCACTTGGCCAGCACTACACATATTCCCAAGCTTCTAAGAAGGTGACAACCTTTTTCACCTTGTTTCTGACTCCTATTTTTGTTTAAGAGCCAAAGGTAAATGAATAAAGCTGGGCTGGTGCATTGGCCAGTATCTTTGCATATGGCCTACGTCAGGCAGGCACACTTACTAGAGCCTCCTTCCCAGCATCAGGAAGCCCAAATGGAAACAAATCATTTATATGGCAGATAAAAGCAAAGGGAAAACTGTAAAGCAAGAGAATCAATGGCCTTAGCAGGGTCTCAAAGCATCTGCAACAAACCCCCTTCCCAGCCCCCCATTAGTACCTGATGATGAACAGTGGGTCCTCCCGGATCTTGCTGGCCATGTCAAGAAGGGAATTGGCACCTGATGGGGCAAAGATAGAGCCTGGGAGGAGTCCTGTTTCAGAAGAGCAGCCTGCCTCCTTCTCCTCCATCTTCTCAAAAACATATTTGTCAATGGGGCGCCCCAGCAGGTACTCATCACGGTTCACCATCCCACCAGGACCCTGGTACATCCAGTCCAACTTTTCTTCTTTTTTCCTAGTTCAAGGGAAGAAAAAGAAACAGAATTTCTTTAAAAAGCAGACTTCTGCAAACCTACACATAAAACCTGAACACAAGGGAGAGAGAACCACAGCTGATCAGAGAATTCATTCTACTGGCACCTACCATGCAATAAACACAGCACCCTGGCAGTGGCCGGCATCAAGAAATAGTGTGGGTTGAGGGCCGGGTGCCGTGGTTCACGCCTGTAATCCCAGCACTTTGGGAGGCAGAGGCGGGCAGATCACGAGGTCAGGAGATCAAGACTATCCTGGCTAACACGGTGAAACCCTGTCTCTACTAAAAAATACAAAAAAATTACCCAGGCGTGGTGGCAGGCGCCTTGTAGTCCCGGCTACTCAGGAGGCTGAGGTAGGAGAATGGCGTGAATCTGGGAGGCGGAGCGTGCAGTGAGCCGAGATCACGCCACTGCACTCCAGCCTCGGTGACAGAACGAGACTCCGTCTCAAAAAAAAAAAAAAAAAAGAAATAGTATGGGTCGCGTTCTGTGGCTCATGCCTGTAATCCCACCACTTTGGGAGGCTGAAGCGGGCGGATCACTTGAGGTCAGGAGTTCGACACTAGCCTGGCCAACATAACAAAACCCGGTCTCTACTAAAAATACAAAACATTAGCCAGGCATGGTGGTGGGTGCCTGTAATCCCATCTATTCGGAGGGGTGAGGCAGGAAAATCACTTGAACCTGGGAGGCAGAGGTTGCAGTAAGATGACGCCACTGCACTCCTGCCTGGGTGACGGAGCCAGACCTTGTCTCAAATAAATAAATAAATGGTGCCTGTCCTCATGAGGCTTACGAGTGAATGGAGAGAGAATATTCACACACATAAAGCAATTTATAAGGAAAACCAGTGTTCCTCAACATGGGGCGTGGATCTTGGCTCAGAGCTCCTCAAGTGTCCTTTACAAGGTCTTTATATTTTGCTTTCATTTCCAAGATGACCTAAAACATTGAACAAGCACATTCTACACCACCATCTTACCATCAAGAACAATTTCAGTGACCACATACGCAGTTGCATTGATTGTGCATCTTGGTGCTCGCGGGCACTCAGACACCAGCGGTAACACTACACATTCGAGGGCATGATGGGAAAAAATCAGAGGTAACTGAGTAAGTGACACTTTCAAGCCAAAAGAGCCAAACACTGAATACATGAATCATTAGGTAACTATCTGGGATTCACAAGTGAATAAACCCTGATCTCGCCATCTAGGGGCCAAATTAAGTCACAGCATCATGCCACACAAACATTTCCCTGGGGTTCTGGGAGAAAAAGTGGTGAGAAAGTGGAACCCTCATACCACAGACAGTAAAGGTAGGCTACATTCATAAGAGCATGCATGGAAGCAGCCAACACTACATTCACACTGCAAGCAGAAAAGTAGTTTCATCGACAGTATTATCTATAACCTGAAATTAAATGTTTTTTGAATATGACTTTTTTGTGCTTTTTAAATTTTTTATTTATTTTTTTTGAGACGGAGTCTCACTCTGTCACCCAGGCTGGAGTGCAGTGGCTGGATCTCAGCTCACTGCAAGCTCCACCTCCCGGGTTTACGCCATTCTCCTGCCTCAGCCTCCCAAGCAGCTGGGACTACAGGCGCCCGCCACCTCGCCCGGGTAGTTTTTTGTATTTTTTAGTAGAGATGGGGTTTCACCATGTTAGCCAGGATGGTCTCTATCTCCTGACCTCGTGATTCGCCCGTCTCGGCCTCCCAAAGTGCTGGGATTACAGGCTTGAGCCACCGCGCCCGGCCTTTTTTTTTTTTTTTTTTTTAAAGACACAGGGTCTCACTCTGTCACCCAGGCTGGAATGCAGTGGTGCGATCATGGCTCACTGAAGCCTTGAACTCCTGGGCTCAAAAATCCTCCTGCCTCAGCCTCCCAAGTAGCTGGGACTACAGGGATGCACCACCATGCCTCCCTGATTTTTTCTTTTTCCTTTTTTTTTTTTTTTTTTTTTTTTGAGACGGAGTCTTGCTCTGTCACCCAGGCTGGAGTGCTGTGGCCAGATCTCAGCTCACTGCAAGCTCCGCCTCCTGGGTTTACGCCATTCTCCTGCCTCAGCCTCCCGAGTAGCTGGGACTACAGGCGCCCACCACCTCGCCCGGCTAGTTTTTTGTATTTTTTTAGTAGAGATGGGGTTTCACCATGTGAGCCAGGATGGTCTCGATCTCCTGACCTCGTGATCCGCCCGTCTCGGCCTCCCAAAGTACTAGGATTACAGGCTTGAGCCACCGCGCCCGGCCAATTTTTTCAATGCTTATAGAGATGGGACTTGCCATGTTGCCCAGGCTGGTCTCAAACTACTGGCCTCTAGTGATCCTCCTGCCTCAGCCTCCCAAAGTGCTGGGATTAGTGGTGAGGCACCGTGCCCAGCCTGAATATGACCTTTTAAATGTGTATACTTGTTTTTGAGGCTATGTAACAACTGTGAGCATAAAGAATGTTTTCCTAGCTGCATGCTTGGACATTTTTAGTAAGAATAATTTAAACCAACACTGGACAGCCATGACTCTTTTTCTTTTTTTTCCCAGATGAAGTCTCACTCTGTTGCCCAGGCTGGAGTACAGTGGTGCAATCTTGGCTCACTGCAACCTCTGCCTCCCGGGTTCAAGTGATTCTCCTGCCTCAGCCCCCTGAGTAGCTGGGACTATAGGCATATGCCACCAAGACTGGCTAATTTTTCATACTTTTAGTAGATGGGGTTTTACCACGTTGGCCAGGCTGGTCTCGATCTCCTGATCTCATGATCTGCCCGCCTTGGCCTCCCAAAGTGCTGGGATTACAGGCATGAGCAACCGCACACAGCCCCAAGACCCTTTAGAATTTTTTTTTCATATTAAAAAAATGAGTCTGAGAAACACTGTAGTCTATAATTAAGAATTGATCAGCTGGGCACAGTGGCTCACACCTGTAATTCTAGCACTTTGGGAGGCCAAGACAGGCTGATCATGGGGTCAGGAGATTGAGATCAGCCTGGCTAACACGGTGAAATCCTGTCTCTACTAAAAATACAAAAAATTAGCCAGGCATGGTGGTACATGCCTGTAGTCCAAGCTACTCGGGAGGCTGAGGGAGAAGAATCGCTTGAACCTGAGAAGCAGAGGTTGCAGTGTGCTGAGATCCCACCATTGTACTCCAACCCGGGTGACAGTACGAGACTCGGTCTCAAAAAAAAAAAAAAAAACAGAATTGATCATGGGGCCAGGCACAGCGGCTCACATCTGTAATCCCAGCACTTTGGTTTTTTTTTTGTTTTTTTTTTTTTTGAGACGGAGTCTCGCTCTGTCGCCCAGGCTGGAGTGCAGTGGCCGGATCTCAGCTCACTGCAAGCTCCGCCTCCCGGGTTCCCGCCATTCTCCTGCCTCAGCCTCCCCAGTAGCTGGGACTACAGGCGCCCGCCACCTCGCCCGGCTAGTTTTTTTCTATTTTTTAGTAGAGACAGAGTTTCACCGTGTTAGCCAGGATGGTCTCGATCTCCTGACCTTGTGATCCGCCCGTCTCGGCCTCCCAAAGTGCTGGGATTACAGGCTTGAGCCACCGCGCCCGGCGACTGTAATTTTAATACAAAAAAATTAGGCCGGGCACGGTGACTCACACCTATAATCCCAGCACTTTGGGAGGCCAAGACGGGCAGACCACGAGGTCAAGAGATTGAGGCCATCCAGGCCAACATGATGAAACCTTGTCCCTACTAAAAATACAAAAATTAGCTGGGCCTGGTGGCGCGCACCTGTAGTCCCAGCTACTCAGGAGGCTGAGGCAGGAGGATTGCTTAAACCCAGGAGGCAGAGGTTACAGTGAGCCGAGATCGCACCACTGTTGTCTCCAAAAATGGAGACTGTTGGACTACAGGGATGCACCACCATGCCTCCCTGATTTTTTATTTTTTCAATGTAGTCCCAGCTACTTGGGAGGCTGAGGCAGGAGGATTTTTGAGCCCAGGAGTTCAAGGCTGCAGTGAGCCATGATCGCACCACTGTATTCCAGCCTGGGTGACAGAGTGAGACCCTGTGTCTTAAAAAAAAAAAGAACAAAATAAAATAAATAACAAAAATAAAACCAGCCAGGTGCCATGGCTCACGCCTGTAATCATAGCACTTTGGGAGGCCAAGGCAGGCAGATCACCCAAGGTCAAGAATTCGAGAACAGCCTGGCCAGTATGGTGAAACCTCGTCTCTACTAAAAATACAAAATTCAGCCGGTGGTGGTGGGCACATGCCTATAGTCCCAACTACTTGGGATGCTGAGGCAGGAGAATCGCTTGAGCCGGGGAGCTGGAGGTTGCAGTGAACCGAGATCGTGCCATTCCATTCTAGCCTGGACGACAGAGTAAGACTGTTTCAAAAAAAAAAAAAATTAAGGAAAAAGAAGGAATCGTGTATAAAGTCAGGAGGACCAGGAACCTGTGGTCAAAGGAGCAACAGATTTCCAGGGGAAACACAACAGGATCAAATACAAATGGACGGGAACAATGAAGATGGGGCCAGGCGCGGTGGCTCACGCCTGTAATCCCTACACTTTGGGAGGCCAAGGCAGGCTTGAGGTCAGGAATTCGAGACCAGCCTGGCCAAAAGGCAAAACTGTCTCTACAAAAATATGAAAATTAGCCCAATATGGTGGTGCACGCCTGTAATCCCAGCTAGTCAGTAGGCTGAGGCAGGAGAATCGCTGGAACCCAGGAGGGAGAGGTTACAGTGAGCCAAGATCACACCTCTGCACTCCAGCCTGGGTGATACAGCCAGACTCCATTTCAAAAAAAAAAAGAATGAAGATGGAAACTGCTATAAAATAGTAACTGTGGCCGGGCGCGGTGGCTCACACCTGTAATCCCAGTACTTTGGGAGGCCGAGGCGGGTGGATCACGAGGTCAGGAGAGCGAGACCATCCTGGCTAACACGGTGAAACGCCATCTCTACTAAAAATACAAAAAACGGCCGGGCGCGGTGGCTCAAGCCTGTAATCCCAGCAC